TATATATATATATATTCTGGTCTGCTTTTCTGGAAGATACCAGTCTAGGTCTGGTTTGTGTTTGCCAAGGTGTGTAAACATTCCCAAGATATAAATAATTAGTAATTAAAAGCTTCTAAAAAGTAAATGGTTACAGTAGATGATGAAGTAGATTGGTCCTGGTGAAATATTCAAGCATAAAACAAGGAAAATACTGCATTTTCATAAACAGTCTCCAGTAGAAATCTGTGTATGCTCAGCCAGCTCAGCTGTTCATTGTGAATACATTATGAAGCTGTTGCATGGGAATAAATTACCCAAGGACTAGACATAAAGCAGAGAGGATTGATAAATAATTCAGAATAAGAAATGAAAGAAACGAGAGGCAGAAGGAAAATTGTGTTGTGAAATATGCTGATAAAAGTGAAGTAAATTTCTGATGGTGACCTTTTGTCTCCTTGAATGTCGGTGTTTTTCCCCAGGAACCCTTCCACATTCGTATCCTGATAACCACCTTGGGCAGCTTGATGTCAATGAGTTGTTTGCTAAACTGCTGTCAACCGGGATCCTCAAACTGTCAAAAACTGATTCCACTTCAGCACGTATGTAAAACCATTATGTTCCAACTATTCAGTTTGTCCACAGCTGAAGTGTAAAGCTTAAGTATAAGAACTTCAGTGAAAACTTACATGTCTCTTTTTTTTTTTTCTAAACTGAACTTTGTTTTTGGGAAGGAAGTTAATGCATGTGGTGGAGTAAATTCTCGGTATCTTGTTTAGTTAGTACACTTCAGCTATCCAGAGCAGTCGGTTTTGTCTTTGGTACTGTGCCTTGGTAACTTGTTCTTGATTATAATCAGATTCTTGTCAGTTTCTGAAATATTTCTGTGTTTCTAAGACTAAATTTTAATGCCAAAGCCGGAGGTGAAACAAGATTTTCCTGAATTTAAATTCTGAGTAACTTACAGTAGCTTGCGTGCTTTTCTTAAGTGATGTTAGAAGGTGACTGACTATTGCACACTTGTATTTTAGTACAGTCAGATTGTACTTGTTAATATTTTAATAAAAATAACTTTTAGGAGCATGTAATTTCTTTCTGATGAGGTACTGAAATTTTGATAAAATGATATCCTTGTGCTTTCTAGAAGCGAATGAAACATCAGCCCAACCAGCTGCCGAAGAGGAGGAAGATGACCAGAATGAAGATCAAAATGTCCCAGACCTCACTAACTTCACAGTTGAAGAACTTAGACAGTGCGTATAGTAGAATAAGTTTACAGTGCAGTAAGAATAACGACATGGTAGTATCTAAATAGTTAATCCAAGACAACTGAGAGCTTTGTATGTCACTTTGTGATTAAGAGGACCTGCAGTTTTTGATTGTCACTTTGTGATTAAGAGGACCTGCAGTTTTTGATGTTAGCCTTGGGGAATTTGAGGGAGGAAAAAGAGGGAAAGATAACTTGGGAAAACTGTCTTTACACAGGCTGTTCACTTTGTGATTAAGAGGACCTGCAGTTTTTTATGTTAACCTTGGGGAATTTGAGGAAGGAAAAAGAGGGAAAAATAACTTGGGAAAACTGTCTTTACACAAGCTGCGTGTTGTTACTTATTCAGTAAGGTTGTGGTAACGTATTGAAGTCACTGTTTCTTCCTTTGTCACTACTGATTTTACCACCTTTGTGGCAGTTTGCAGAGCTAAGCCAAATGCAGGTGCTACCATTTTATGCACTACTGGGTGATGAAGCTAGTAGGCATGAAATGCAACACTAGCATTTCTCATGAATAGTTAATATGAGCCCATTGTTTGTTATTGGAATGTTTCAATTGTGTTTGGAAAATCAGGAAGAATTTAGCTCTATTGCATGCTTTAACCTTGCAGCAGATTCCTACTTTCCCTCTTCTCTTGTGGGCATTTGCAGCAACTTACTGAGAAACTTCATACCTGTTCTTTTTCAAAGAAATTTTAAGCCTTTTTTTTTTTTATCCTTTTTTTAGACGTTATGATAGTGTTATAAATCGACTGTACACTGGAATTCAGTGCTACTCTTGTGGAATGAGATTCACTACTTCACAGACAGACGTTTATGCTGATCATTTAGATTGGCATTATCGTCAGAACCGGACAGAAAAAGATGTTAGCAGAAAAATTACACACAGAAGATGGTATTACAGTTTAACAGTAAGTAATGTAATATGTGTCTTGATAAATTACAGGCTGGATTCTGTGTTGTACTTACGTATGTGCTTTAGGATTGAAATTTACATCATTGCAGGAGTTGGCCTTTGGTAAACAATGGTGACTTAGATATTTCAAGTAGTTTTCATAAATGCCTGTCAAAGCACAGAAGGCAATTGTATGATGAACAATAAGCAGTTTGAAGCTGTTGGTACTGTTTTGATCTCCCTGAGAATGGAATGGAAATGGAAGGATTGTTTTTTCTGCAAAAAGCTGTTTTGAAGTGTAGCATTGTGAGAAAGCATGCACTGTGCTAACGCTGCATGTGAGGAGCATTTCAGTTTTAAGGAAGTAAGATTTATTAAATCTGGTGCTTTGGTGATGTCTCTCCCACCCCCTGCCCCTCCCTGGGATTTATTTTTTTAAACATATTTTCTATTTATCAGTGTCTGAGTGTGAATTAAAACTTTTTCCTTAGGACTGGATTGAATTTGAAGAAATAGCTGATCTAGAGGAGCGTGCAAAAAGCCAGTTTTTCGAAAAAGCTCACGAAGAGGTTGTGTTGAAGACACAAGAAGCTGCGAAAGAGAAGGAGTTTCAGAGTGTCCCTGCTGGACCAGCTGGAGCAGTTGAGGTTGGTTTGCCTTTATTAGCCCAGATACTGACAATGGTCTAATACCTCAAAGCAGCTTTACAGCATTCTTTCATACAGTGGGCTGTATGTAGACTGAAGTCTTGTTCTTGGATTCTCTGTGCCGCCACTTCATAGGTGGTGTATTTCTGTGTGTAAAGGTTGTTTCCCAGTGGCAGAGAAGAGTAAAAATCACCTGTAATTCCAAAAAATCTACATCCATTGGCATTCTGTCGTTTTAGCAAAATTGAAATGGGGAAAGTGTGTTAATTTACTGAGTGCTTCCATAGAAAGAGTGAATAGAGCAAGTGAATTGGAAATGGTCCTTTGTCGTTCAAGTAATAATTGAGTTTACTGGGGTTTTGGTGCTTTTACACAGAAATGTATTTTTCACTGGAAGAGAAGCATTAGGACAAAGTAATACCTCCATCTGAAAAGTAACGGGTAGATCTGTATTTTGGTAGATAAATTGGTGCAGTAATCAAATACAAAAGTTAGTAGAATTACAATTTAGTTTTATATGCTCAGCCTCTAAGAAACTAATTATCAAGCCAGGAAAGCCTTTGTTTTAATTTTAAAAACTTTGTTCTCAGAGTTGGTTATTTAGCACAGAAGTACTAAAAATTTATAATACTTCATCTAGAAGTTCTGCCTTTTTAATTTGAGACTGCAGGTTAAGGGGAAGAGTGAAGGAAATGCCATAAATAGAATTAATTAAATCCCTGTACTGGCTTGTCTTACATGGCAGGGAAACAGCATTAGCTTGTTGCAAAGTGTTCTGCAGAGACTTCGTAGCTAAAAGGGCAAAGCTTAAATTTTTCAAGTGACAACAGTCTTCGAGGCCAGATGATGATCGTTGCTCAGTCTTAAGAGAACCTTGTTTGACTGTTACTAGGTTCTTGAAGTTCATTTGTTCAGTAAATTGTTGCAATAACCTAATTTCTTGTTATTCCAATAACTTTTCAGAGCTGTGAAATTTGCCAAGAGCAATTTGAACAGTATTGGGATGAGGAAGAGGAAGAGTGGCACCTGAAGAACGCTATCAGAGTAGATGAGAAGGTAATCATTTGCATTATACTTACAGTAAAAGCCTTGAAGAATTATAGCAAAAAAAAAAAGGAGGGCCAAGTGCTATTTCACTCTTAAAGAATTCCCATGGTAGTTTCCCTGGCTTCCAAGCACATAAATACCTCAACCTTTGGAAGTGCATGAAGCTCTGGTATCATCAGTGTGGGCTCAGTAGCCTTCCATTATACTGCAGTGCTCAAAGAAGAATGAATGTCTCCATATATGGGTGTGGACATTGGCTAAATTATTTCTGCATGCAACCGTACACAAGTAATTCCCAGCAGTTACCAGGCTTCTGTACAGTGACTTTTCCTGAACAAACATACACAAAATCTTTTCCCAGTTACATTTGACACTGTACTTGGCCTGCTCATACTGTTGTTTTTCTAGACAAGCTGTGTGATACGTGTAATTGACACTCTTCTGTTCATAACCAGAGATCCAGCTAGAATTTATTTTATGTATTTATACATATAACAATTATTTTTCAGATTTACCATCCATCTTGCTACTAAGATTACCAAAACGTAAGTGAATCCTTCTTCAGGTGTTTGTGAAGCATTTTGCTTTCAGTTTGTTTGCTTCATCTCTGACTTTGCAAGGGAGCAGATGTGTTCAGAATGCACTACCCATTTCTCTTGCCTGTGACTAGACAGAGACTCAGAGGCCTTGGGTGTGGCAGGTTCATAATACAGAATTAGCCAAGATACATTTTTGCCGTGACAGTTTGTGTGTCATACACAACTAAAGCAAATCCATGGTTTGAAAACACATTTATTGTTGAGTAACGTGCATAATCTTAGGAATTTGCAGAAATTGATTAAATGGGGTTTAGGGTGTGTTACACTTTTAATGCTTTGGGAGTTACAGTTCCCCTGGGGATAGCAGGGAATATCGTGGTAATGTGCTAAGCATTTCATCACTGCTTGGATGATACCTTTTCAAAGCAATTGTGAAAAAGTAATGCTATTAAAGAATACATTTGTTTTCTTAGGATCTTGATAAAGTAGAAGTTTGGATTTTTGAGTGCCTGACTATCAATGTGTTTGCATTTTGAAAGAGTAAAAGGGATAAGAAGCTAAAACTGGTTATTTTAATGTGTGTTAATACTGCACTGACTTTGACTTCACAGACATCATCATTTGATTGCACACCATCTCCCAGCAAGACTCCTGTAGAAAATCCGCTAAATATAATGTTGAACATTGTTAAACAAGAAACACAAGAGTCCTGTGACTCACCTAAAATCAAAGAAGAACCTGATGACACCCCTACTGCCTGTGCAGAAGAGAGCACACCTGCATCTACAGAGATTAAAACAGAACCCGACGAGTCTGTTTAAATCAACTGAGGTATGGATTTTTTTTTTTTTTACAGAAGAGCTGCTGTGTTATCTCTGGAAGGCAAATACTTTTTATATGAAATAAAAAATGTTCATCTGAGGCAGGGCCTCAACTCCTGTTTGGTTAATAAATACATTTTTGTATTTGAATTTCTTATTGCCTGCACAGTTTCAGGTGTCATTGTGTGAAAGTTCTGTAGATGCGTGAAAATTTAATGGAATGAAACGGTGTATGTAAAAATGTACAATTTTCACTTGTGGAAATGTAAATTATAAATAAAAGATATTTTTGCTATCTATGGAGTGTAATGTTTATGCACACCATCAAATGAAGACAGTGTTTCTGTACTTTTTTCAGTTTAAATGGAATTAAAAAGAACTTTTGCTCAATAAGACTCAGAAAAAATGAAAGCAAATAACTTCCTTCAGTTATCCCATAGGTAGGTTATTAAGGGAAGCAGTGCAGGAACTTCTCAGATTTCTTTTCTTTTTAAACTTATTTGAATAATCTTACATTTTGAGATATTTAAAAAAAATAACACAGAAAACCCCCCAAAAACCAAAACAGCAACACACCCCCCCCACAAAAGATGGTTTTGGGTAGAAGGGGAAAACTTAACCAACTGGAGTGCTTGATTGTGAACACAAGTGCCAACAAACAATTAACAAACCAGGATGCCTGGTAGTTAAGACATTTTTAATGATTTTTTTTTTTTCTTTTTTTGCAATCAGTCAAACACATAAGAATTTAATACAGCTGAACAAACTTTTCTTTACATTGCGGGGGGAATGAATGTAAGAATGCTCATTTGAAACATGGTTAACCTTTTTTTTTTTGTTGCTTATGACTGGACTTAGATGGTAAACCAGATATCCTGAGATGTTAATATTTCTTAAATGTAATAAATAAAATTAAGCTTCTATTTGAGTGTCAGTGTCTTCCTTTCAGCAATGGCTTTGTGTGGCTGATGTGTTTGTGGGATTGGAAATCAATAATACAATTGTGTGTCTTAAGACAATATGAATTTAATGTTTTATTCACTTTGCTGCATGTAAGGTGCATATTTTTAAAGCTGCTGGGGAGCAAGGCATAAGCAGCAAAAGTCAAAGCGCAGTGTCACAGTTGTAGCATATTCTTGCATGAGGATACTTGGGACATCAAAATTCCCCCTTAGTGTGTGATGGAAGTGGAAATAATCAGCTGTGAAGGGGTTTTGCTGTTGGCTGCGACACTTTTCATCTTCACAACCAGGCTTCAAGCAGTTTTGAGGATGTGAATAGTTCCTTGACTCTTGTATTAAGGTGGTAGCCATAGTGTGTGTGTGCTTGGTTCTAGATGTCAAAAACAAGTCTACAGGAACAGAAATAGTTTGGATATGGATCAGGTCAGCTGGTATGGTGGTGTGGTGGCTGCTGGCTCTGCTGCGGGGAGTTACTCCTGTGTTACTTGTTGCAACTTCTTCCTGGAAGAGGGATGTAGGGTTGGCTCAGTTGACACTTTGTGTCCTGGAATACTGTAAACTTCTCTTAAATCATACAAATGTTCCTGTGACAGAGCCCTGGGACAGGCTGCCCAGAGAGGCTGTGGAGTCTCCTTCTCTAGAGATGTTCAAAACCCACCCGGACACTTTCCTGTGCAACCTGTTGTAGGGAACCTGCTTTGGCAGGGGGGTTGGAGTGGATGATCTCCTGAGGTCCTGTCCAACCCCCACCATTCTGTGATTCTGTGAAACAAATTCAGAGGAGACTGGGCAGGGATGTGATGTTTTTAGGTATGTAGAAGGGTTAGAAAAAGGGAACAAATTACTCTTGTCTACTAGGGGCAGAACAAAAAGAGACCTATAAGTTGCAGCAGGAGGATTTATGGCAACTTTCTAATGACAAGGATAGTTAAGCTCTACATGGACCTTACTTAGTCTGTGTAATTATCAACGCATACCTGTAAATCTGGTTGGGAAGGTTTCATCCTACCTGGAAGCAGGACTCTGGAAATGTAGGGTGCTTTTTTTCTGCCCTGTCAAGGGAACCCACCATCCTTCCAGGGCCCCAGCTGCTTTTGGCTAAGGGTTGAGGAGCAGGAGTCTGTAACTGCAGGGAAGGACCTATCCACCTCATACCCTACAAACATCTTAGTTGCTCTCTACAACTCCCTGAAAGGAGGGTGTAGAGAGGTGGGAGTGGGTCTGTTCAACCAAGGAACAAGGGACAGGACAAGAGGAAATGGCCTCAAGTTGCACCAAGGGCAGTTGAGATTGGATGTGAGGAAGAATTTCTTTGCTGAAAGGGTTCTCAGGCATTGGAAGGGGTTGCCCAGGGCAGTGGTGGAGTCCCCATCCCTGGAGGGACTGAAGAGTCGTGTAGACACAGTGCTGAGGGACATGGGTTAGTCGGGGACTTGTCAGTGTGAGGTTCATGGTTGGACTCGATGATCTTAAAGGGCTTTTCCAGTCGAGGCAATTCTGGGATTCTGTGCAGACTGAGAGGGTTAAACATACACAAATCGGGACTGGAATCGGATTGTCTCGCAGTGAGGGCACAAACAGGTTAAATGCCTCTCGGTCAGTAGTGGCTGATGGTTTCCGAGGTGAGAGCAGATATCGATGCGTTACGCTGCTCCCTCAGGAACGCACTAGCCCAGGCCTGACAAAAAGGTGCCAAAAAGCACCACCCGGCAATGCAGTTTCCCCCGTGCCGTCCTTTCCCCTCCAGCTG